CCAGAAAATGCATTCTGTGGAGCTTGAAAACACTGATTAGAGTAGCTGCTCTGACAAACCTAGGAAAAGCTTCCAGATAGAGTAAAAGTAGGGTATCTGGGGATACCCACAACTATCCTCCAAGATAAAAGTAACCCGATTATCGACGTGTCCACAATCTCACAGCACTCGACATAAAGTTACTAGTTTTGCACGCAAGAGCCGTAATNTCGATTCTGGACGGGAATCGCTATTATGTTTGTAAGTGTACTTGTTAGTAGCGAAGCAGCAGCTTGCGCATCTAACCTTGACAAGCTATTCGGTTTCAACCGATCCACATTCAGCAATAAACAACCACCATGACTGTGCGATGCATGCTGCACAAGAAATTATTCGATTGAACGAACCCAACCTACGGTGAGAGGAATACTCTTTCACCTAATGAATCTTTCGGCAGAATAAATTAACTTCTACTCTCCAAACCACCCGGAGATTTAAAAAAGAAAGAAGTCATCTACCCAGCCAAGCCGAAATCATCACAGAGGTTCAGTTTTTATCACTTATAACCAAGTTTATGGAGGTGGATCATATAACACAGGTAAACACCTTAAAAACCAAACAACCCCGGAGAAAACGGTATCCCCACGAAAGTCTAAAAGTCTGTCTGAAAATAATACTCAGTCGACTCGAAATATTTCTCGTTTCGATTTGGGAATGGGAAACGATTCACAAGGATTAAACTTCAACTATCCCTCCTATGGCCAAGACGAAATGCCAACACTACCGAGGATTCAGTCTACCTGATATGGCTGCCAAGAATTTTCCGGTACTGCTCCTCAAGCGATTCCCACTCGATAGAGATAACTGCACCTGACTCAACCAAGAGGATTTAGGTAGAGAAAGAGGTCGAATGGAACAAATATCCAACCCCCGCAGAATTCTCGAACATTTTTATAGGTTTTAAAAGCGGGCAATATCCCATTCCATTGAATCCTGTGCAGTCTTCGTTTCACTCATTTGCATGTGGCCTACCATTACCGCCACCGCGATGCCTGGAGAATTTATAAAAGAGATAAGAACATAGTAATCGGGAATTTGAGCGCGATTCCCTGCAAGGAGTCGATAGAATTCACTCTAATTTGAATACTTTTACCACTGTGTCATAGGAAATGCACTCATCGGCAATTCTGAAGCACAGCTACTTCCTATTTGAGCACTGCGATCTTGGAGCTATTAGACAAGTTTTGTCCCCTGAGACACTCCTGTGTTCGATATTAGAAAATGAACAAGTTTCCGATGGATGGTTTAAATCGATGATCACACCGATAGACGAGAAAGGAAAATATGAAAACAATAGATTGCTTAGTTTGACCAGCGTCGCCTGGCATTGTGCTCCGTCGATTGTCTACCGCACGTAAATGGTTCTAGCGTGAGAATCGGGCAGGCGCTAGACCGGGTCGAGGCTGCATCAACCATATTCTCACATCACCAAATTCTTCAACTTGGATTGTTTCGTAGACGCGAAATTTCTACTTTCCTTTACCTAAAAGTGGTCTCCGACTTCGCCGATTGAACTCCGTAAACAGTGGCACTCATGCCTCTACGTGATTCTTCGGACTCGTTTGATTGTATTCTGAATCTTTACCCTGGTACCCCTCTCGGATATACAATTCTTCCCCCACTCCTTTCATCTAAGCGAATAGTAACAAAAATCATCTCGCGAAAGTGCCATATTTGCTGATAATACAGTCGTGGCCAACTAGGTTGGCGTGTGATTCTCAGCGGTTCATGCTGGGGTAAACTCACTTTCAATGATCAAATAATCAACCATATGCGAGAGTAAGTAGAAAAGTGGGTACTTCCATAGAATGCTAGAAGAATATCAGTATAAACTAATGCACTTTGCACCCTCAGAGTATAGCTGATAATCGGAAAAGCAAATACTTAAGCCATCTTCTAACATAATAATATTAATAATAACAGCTAAATATTCCTTCGCTTAACTTAGGAAACCGATTTTGCTTGCGACCAGATGAATAAGTTACTCACCTAAGGTATGTGCAACAAAAACAAGGACAGCAGTAACAAGCCAAGCCCATTGGGGCACTGCTGAATTATTTTTGAAATGCGGATTGAAATAGCTGAGTAGAAGGAAGTGAGCCACTGTCATAAGAAATCCTCCAAAGGTGATGAGATTTGGTGCGAGGTACCTAGGGTAAAACTAAATGACGTGAAATATACATTTATTAAGAGGATAACACACCTGAGTGATCCAATTCCAGAATGGATGCATAATATACGTTGATAATGGGGATGTGTCGACACACGAATACTGCACGGATAAAAATGAATGCGATGTCGAACGAGAGTTTACCTTATATGCTTTCAGTTCCGCTTTCATTTGTGCCGTTAACATGATGGGAAAATCTGTGTTGAGGAAATGATCAATGATATCGGCTGAGTCAACTACGCTGGAATGGAAAGAAAGATGGTACATCAAAGCAAAAAATGACCAGGAAATAAAATATTAGCATATAAAAGCCAAAGACGATAAACACCCTAACACAGAAAGGACGTTATATTCCATAAAATGCAGCATTTGTATTGCACATCATCAAACTAGTCAGCAAGTGAGAAAGCACTTGATTCTATGATTTTGCATCGGTTTAATTGATCAACGACAGATATTCCTACTTTATAAAATCCAGCACCAGAAATGATTGTTACGATAGACCATTTTCAACGTATCAAACTCCCTTTGATATGCTCCCCATCCCGTGCTGACAGTCTGATAGAGCAATCCAGCTCGCGGACTTCGCTTGACAAGTTCTCCGTTGACTTCAGAGGAAAACGCCAAGTTCCAGGGTCATAAACTATTCGACGTTATTTGCAACTATCGCATCTAAGCCATTCTGTGTACGCTGATTTCAAACTATCATGCGATCTCAAGGTGATCATAATAAAATGTGACAGGAGGGCACAAGAACCCTGACACATGAGTTGCATTAAAATTTCCGGTTGCAGAAATACGATCTTCGATTCAAGCTCTGAAGAAAGTAAAAGTAACAGGACCCGACAGACTTCCTCCCACTCTTTTCACGATGGGGGGCGCTGACCTCGTAAATACCATTACTGATTTAATGCGTAAAGTCCGGTCGAAAGAACACATTCCATGATCCTGGCGCGAATCACTAATCGTTCCAACTTTAAATTACGGACCTCGCAACGACTGCGCAAACCACCGCGGGATAAGTTTGATCCCAATAGTTACCAAAGTATCAGCCTCCGTCTTACTTCGACGTTTGACTCCCATCAGGGAGACAAACAACCGTAAACAATGAGCAGGATTCCAACCAAGTCGCGGTTGTATGGACCAAATCTTTACACTGCGTAGTCAAGCTACGCCATACATACCGCCGCCCGACAATCGCAGTGTTCTCGGACCTCAAAGGAGCCTTCGGCTCAGTTGGCTGCGGAGCCCTGATGGATTCGCTTCTTCACAAAGAAACGCCGCAG